CATTTAGTGGTTGATATGTTCAGGATCTTCAATTGAATAAATAATGAAAAACAAATTCTAGAACTGGGCCATGGTCCTTAAGGCCAGGAAAAAAATCGATCACAAACCGTTTTCGTAGCGGCTTTCATTGATGATGCCTTCAAGTGATTGAAATCGTTGATCATGCTGCAATCGCTGCAATTTCGTTGCCGTAAAAGCTTTATGCGTTCATTTTGACACTAATGAGCCATGGATTTCAGCGTATTGCCCACAATCGCTCTCGACGGGTTGTGCAATTAATGGCACGAGCATTTAATAATTCTGAATATTTGGTGTATATCAAAGGTAACACAACGTTACGACTACAAAAGCTGTTTGAGAAGTAGGTTTTGTCGATCTAATCTACTCTTGTTAAGCTGTTCGCCACGACGGTTCTATCCAAGCCCTTCCGTTTTTGGGAACTTGTCGATGCGAGTGCAAACACTAAATCAATCCCTTTAAAAGATGCGCCATGCATTCGCTTTACCACTGAATTTCGTTGAGGCTCTTGCTCTCTCTCGCTCTTGCTGAGTGTGCACTTCATAGTTCTTGGTCTCCAAGACGAGTCAAGTGGCAGTTAATTACTGGGGGATACGAGGCCCGAAGTTTGGGCAACTTTCAATCCAGGATTCGATGCTTCCACTCCCACGTGCGCGACACCATATTACGATGCGCTATAACCACTCACAAGCAATGTCAACCCTCTATTCGCACTATTTGAACGGAAGTCATACTTGCAATTTTAGGAGGGGTCATTTTGGGGTTGAACATGGTTACTCACAACTTGCGACATTGCGAACGGGAATTCGTATGTATAGAAGTTGAAGGGGACGTGGATACTGGAGTAGGGGTCTGCTGAAAGAGCTCCTAAGGATGACGGTGATGGTGATGGGGAGGTCGTCAAATTACTGGAAAAGTGCGAACGTGACCCTGCTCACATATTGACCGAGGGACCAGGGGCTGTATGCAACAAGCCACGAACGTTTTCGGGGCGTATCCCCGACGACCTTCGAGGCTTGTTGTACACGACCTTCAGGGATACACCCTGCCGGGGGTATATCCCCGACGTTCTTATGCAACAAGCCCCGGAGGTCGTCGGGGATATATCCAGGCTATTCTTTTCCTATGCAGTTCGTTCCACATTTGTAAGTGTTACGCATATGAGGAACGTCCATAATCCAAATTTCAGTGAACTGTCATCCTACGAACGACAGCTGGGAATTCGGTGGAGCGAGCAACGGATGGAATGGGATTTTTGGACTGCATTGCTATTTGCCGGCACAGTTTGTACGACTATAGGTAAGCGAACCCTTTGTTCGACAGCAACTAGTCTTTCACTACTTCTGAACTGAGCAAGACTTCAAGCTGCATTTTTGAAGAAAAACTCTAAGTAGTGAAATGGGAGCTTTGGGAGCCTCCAAGAGCCCAGCACGGTCACAGACGGACTGGCTTTAGACTTCCTGAAGCACTTATCTTTCAATCCCCTCAGGCTTGATAACTCCAAGCTGCTTCTTTGAAAAAGAGTTCTGGATTTCTGAAGGTAGGGAGTCTTGGAAGCCTCGAGGAAGCGATCACAGACGGGTGTCCCCCAACAGGCCCACCGCGCGGCGAAGCAAGAGACGCAGATGCGGCAAAGAGACGAGTTGCAGCGCGTGCTGTGCGATATGAGACGTAGTATGGTACACTCTCTTTAACCTGACGCCTAACCGCTACAGTATGCGCTGCGACTCGTCCCTTTGCCGCGTCTGCGTCTCTTGCTTCGCCGCGCGGTGGGCCTGTTGGGGGACACAAGTTCTACGCGTTTGCTACTTTTCGAAAAGTTTTTACGACCCCCCTCCTTCAGGAAAAAGTTTCCTACGACCCCCCCCCCCTTTCCGACCAATTTTACCCCAAAAAATTACCGTCGAGCGGGAGAGGGAATATATACTTCATAACTTCGTATAATGTCCTTGAACTCTCCCTATTGTCTTACCAATATTTCCCACTGCTGCCTTTTCTAGGGTGAGTATTACGCGCAGCTGAAAACGCGCAATTTTCCCCGGCCGCTCCATCTATCAACTGCCAGTTCTTACAGTTACGATCCCCCACAAACTCACCAATATAGACCCCCGTTACCTACTTGTAGCAACATAGGGTTGACTCTGGTTGGGGGACACCCATCACAGACGGTCAGCATAGCGCAATAAAAGTTGTTGTAATAACGTGTATGAAGAAGGGGCATACAAGTGCATAACTTCACGCTTTTACGATACTTGTTCTACTTTCACTGAAGAGTTTGGTACTAAAGAGTCAACCTCATAGAAATGGAAGGTTCCAGGGTTCCGATGTCAACTTAATATTTGTCCTCGGGTTTCGTGCATTCTGAACGGTGCCACTTGCCACCATACAAGCTCTACGCAGTAATGCTAACAAGATAAGACGATGATTGTTTTCAGGATATGGTCACATTTACCCGATCACTAACGCTGGCAAGATTTTCACAATGATATTCGCGCTGTTCGGTATTCCACTGATGCTGTTAGTGCTTCAAGACATCGGCAAGCTTCTCACTATAACCATGAAGTTTCCGTGGTTTCAAACAAAACGGGTCACTCGTCGCATTCTGAGGTATATCTTTCGTCTAACCTAATCCTTCCGTAGTTGTTCTGAACCCAACATATACCAAGGCTCACTGGTGCAACGCTATAGTAGAAAATCTCAACATGTCGGGGCGTATTCCGTCATTTTCGTGCTTAAAAAGCAGAGAGTTTAAAGGTGCATCCGATAACCTAATGAAATATTCCCTTCGCAGAAATAACCAAGAAAACAGGTTCATTACTGTTATCAGAACGGCGGCTTTCTGGGGATATGTTCCGTGCACATGTCAAAATTTACACATACCGCCCGGCTCCTGGTTGCTTCAGCATCCGCCAAGGATGCCTATTTCGGCCCTCTATCTGTACCTTCATTCTTTACATTGAAACCTTGACAACGTAATTCGATAATCTCCAGGATAGCTATCGGCAACTCTTGCTGTTCCACCTGCACTTTTCTTAGATCAATACTCGAAAAGGCGCGCCTTGTTTTGCCTTGGGGGGCACATTCCACCATAACACAATGTGAATACTGGGATTAATCATGGGGGCGTAGGTGCTATATTCTTTCTGAATGATACAAAACAAATGTCGAACTCTCGAGTCTTCTTTCCCAATTGACTTAAGCGTTGTACCTGTTTACATCGAAAAATGCGTGCGTGGGCGAGAGATATCGCGACAGCAGGACGAATAGGGTAGATTCGGGAGAACTGCAGGAACTGTCGTAAAATCATTCCAAAAGCGGAGACGGCGTGAATCCTGTCGCCCATTTTGGAGCCGTGAAAAGCTGCATGCCTGCTGGCTGCTGTAGGCCACGAACGCAGAGAATTGTACCCTTATGGGAATCGAATGTGCCTTCAAGTGATATGGGTTACGGTACCCGACAGGAGGCCCGTCGCGCGGCAAGAAGGCAGAGTCAGCGGACGAGTCGCAGCGCGTGATGTGCGATGTAGGACGTACAATGGTACATTCTATTTAACTTGACGCGAAATCACTACAGTACGCGCTGCGACTCGTCCGCTGACTCTGCGCGACGGGCCTCCTGTCGAGTACCCGTATGGATTCTGGTGGTAGTAGTGAACCTCATTCTTGGTTCATTTAAAACAACGAATTTTTCCAGTGCATCACTTTCATTAAACTTAATTTGTACATTCGTAGTGGCGTTTGAATGCGATGTGGCCTATACAATGACTTGCGGGGGCCAGCCGATGTACAAGTCAGTGTTTTTATCCTCCCAGACAAGTCTGGTACCAATTAACCGACCCCGGAGGGATGGAAGGCTTGGTTGGCCCGGGCGACTCACGACCCAGGATTTGATCCCCGGACCGCTCGCGTGGTAAGCGTGCCACTTGCCCCACCACTTCTTCCAGACTGATGATAGGCGTCGGTAGCCGTTAAAAACCTCGTTCCTTTTCAAGTTCTTATGACAGAATTCGAAGGCGCTGGACTCCATAAAGCTTGACCTCGAATCTGTCCTTGTTTACCATCGCTTATCTTAGGAAGGTAATCCTTTTCTGATAATTTAGATGTTGCACAAAGCAGTCGCTGCACGAGATGAGAGAAATTGAAGCTCGTGAACGTCGAGATCTTGACATCTTCGACCTACCAGTGGTCGTGGGTCTTTCGCTAATCGTCGGATGGGTAAGAGACCTTGGACTATCTGACCAGTTTGAACTAGTTTTTCCTCT